CTCCCGAAATAGTGTTTCACTATTGGGAAACGTTTTATTTTCATTTTTTAAAATTTATTTATGTATTTTGTCAACAAATTTGTGGATTGGATTTTTTTTTTGGTCTGGGATGCAAATCCTCCAACCCCCCCCCCCCCAACCCCCCCCCCCCCCCGAAAAAAAAATTGGATTCGCCCCATATAAAGATAAAGAATCTTTATTGAGGGAGGTCGTAGAAAGTCACAAACGAAAACATTATACGTGTGTTGATTTTACTTCTTATATACTAGTACAATGTTTTAATTTAAGATGGTCTACATTTCAATATCTTAAAAGGCCACTTCTCATATGTTTTTCGTCGATTTAAGTTTCAGATTATAATTAACAGAATATTTAGTAATGTAGTCTGACCACAAACAATTTTTTTTTCGATTTGCTTTCCAAAAAATTTAGTAAATTTATTTAAATTACAAAAGAATATGTACAAACTGAAATTAACATAAATTAAATTTCAAGATTTTATTTATCAGACACGAACAACACTAATTACGAACAGAAACTTAAACCCAAACGAAAGGGGCGGAGGTAGTTAGGGTGCGCATTCGACTTGCAATGCTTTAAAACATCAAATGGGAAGCAACTCTTATAACAGTACATGTATTAAGTTTTCAAATCAGTGTCATTTTACGTCCCTTTAAGTTCGATTATGAATTCCGTCGAAAGCTATGTCAAACGAGGGGCTAAATATGAAGAGGAAGAACTCAACACCTTATTATGATGAATAAACAGTTTTAGATGCATATTGAAATCCGGGAATAGCTTGACTTTAATTATACATCTGACAATCCAACTTATATCCACAGTTTCCGTTTCAAAAGAAGAAGTTCTTCAAATCACTTTTCAGTTTTTAAATACTTGTAAAGAAGTGACTTTGAGTTACCGTGAACACTGGATTCCTAAACTCCTTTAAAAACATACATTGCAAGGAAATGTTTTACCAAGCCCACATCTTCGTCCTAGCAAGAATATTTGAACTACTATAAGGAAGGAATTGCAGACGTACCGTGTTAAAATGTTTTCAAGAAGTTGAGTAAATTAAATGTGGAATTTTAACTTTCAGATAAATCACATTTCCCCCTAAAGATAGCATCAAAACGTATGACTTGTCAACACTTTTTACAACCATTTCTTATCAAAAATTGCAGTCCAAACTTTTCAACATTCTTCAATAAAAATAGAACTATAATTGCTGTTCCTCTTAGACAATGGCTCTTTCGTAGGCCACAAATTGTGATCCTTTATAAGCAATCCTGTCTTTGTATGAAGCGGATGTCAAACACTTCTTCAACAGAAGAAAAAGGTGTTTCTGTTGCCTTCGGTTCGATATTTAGATATATCAACTACGTTTATTCATGTGGCAACTTTATATATCTCAGTTAACACAAGATAAAAGATGTGCAGAGTTCACGTATGAGTGATGAAATATATGGAGATAACGAACAGTATTCAAGCTCAAAAGCCCATTGAAACAATACAAATTTTGGAGCAGAGCAAACACGGACCTCAAAAACATCAGAGGTGGGATCAGGTGCCATGGAGGAGTAAGCATCCTCTGCCGACCGGTCACACCCGCTCCTTATATAAAGACATAAGTGGCAAGGTAACAATCAAACAACATGACACACAGGATGAGTTCAACTTTTCCATCGTCAAATCCGATTCCATTATCACCTGCATATGGTGGCTATTTCTCTATAATGATTTGTACGCAAGAGTACATTCTCTGTAATGATATATGGAGATAACGAACAGTATTCAAGCTCAAAAGCCCATTGAAACAATACAAATTGGAAGCGGAGCAAATACGGACATCTAAATATATCAGATGTGGGATAAGGTGCCATGGAGGAGTGAGCATCCCCTGTCGACCGGTCACACCCGCCGTGTGTTCCTTATCATGATCGGGAAAACCGAAAATTCGTAGACAATTAGTATGAAAAACGTCAGACAGCATTCGTATTAATGATAAATTTATTTGCTGACAAGGTCATTGTATCGACCATGCGAACTTGCGAAATGATAACTTGATAACTGAGACTGTTGATATTCTTGTTTCATCAACTTGTTTGTCAACAGTTTGCCTCGTTTTAGAAATTGTTCGTATGTAGAGCAGTCTCTTGCGTATCGAATCAACTGGGAGACGTAAACCCCATATGCAGGTGATAAGGGTATATTGCTGCATAAGTAAGGGAAGCTGATGATAGATACGAGTTCCATTTTTATTGAAAAAGCAGCTATCTATGATGTCAAAAGCCTGGACTTGAATTTATCGTGCGGAATGGTTGTATAAAGTGATGAAAAGTCGTACGTTTTGATGTTATTGATTTTGTTAAAATTTTATGATTTCGAATTTTCTTAGAGTTCCTTGGGAGGTTTTAAGTACCCACATCTGATTTACACCACATCTCAAATATGCTGTTGTACAGTACCCCTGAAGTTTCTCTTTCACTGCTCTTAATATTTTAGTGAGGAATAAAGAAAGATGCTTGGTAGAACACTTACTGGAATCCGTTATGTATCATTGTTTGTAAGGATTTATATAGAGTTTTGGAATCCAGTATAGGTATGGTAATTCAAATTCGTTTTGATTGTTGGGAATATTAAAAATATTTAAGACTGATATGGTTTTGAAGAATTTCCTCCTTAGAAAGGGAGGTATGGGTGTAAGTTGGATTACTTGGAGAATTAAATCCTAGTTCCTCTAAAATAAAATTCAAATTATGAGCCTTAAAAACAAAGACAATGTTGTTACCGGCTTTGTCAGCGGGGACCAGTACATACTGATCGGGTAATCTATCTAATTTTTGTTCCAGAAGACAGAAGGATAGATGTTTTTCATATTGTTCCTCAATTTTTTAAAGTGAACTTGAAATAAAAGACACCACAGAGTCTGACACATCTGTTTCATATTTAAATATTTTAATAGAAAAAGACGTTAATGGGAGCCTAACATCAAAACTTCATGATAAACGTAATGACTTCAACTTATCTATCGTCAGCTCCCCTTATTTATGTAGCAATATACCATTATTTCCTGCATATGGATTTTATGTCTCCCACTTGATTCGATACGCAAGAGCATACGCTACGTACGCACCATCTCTAAAAACGAGAAAAGCCAATGGCAAATACGTTGATGATCCAAAGATATCGACAGCCTCGTTAAAGTCAACATTTCGCAAATTCTATGATCGATACAATGACCATGTCCTTGTCAGCAAATATAATCTGTCGTAAATTCGAATGTTGAATGACTTTTTTCATACATTTTTATGCCATTATTTTCTCACTGAATTGTCTACAGATTTTCCGTTTCCCCGATCATGACAAGGAACATACGGCGGGTGTGACCGGTAAACAGGGGATGATTGTCCTCAATTGTACCTGATCCCAAAGCTGAAGATTTTAGAGGTCCATGTTTGTTCTGCTCCCTACTTGTATTGTTTCAATGCATTTTTTAGAATGATTGCCGTTCATTTTCTTCATATTTCATGGCATGGCGAACAAGGCAACATTCCCTATCGGAATTCCGCGAGATGGCTTTGCTAGACAAACCAGTTAAAATCTCTACTGTAGAAATCAACATACTAAGCTGTAAAACGTCAGCTGTCTTTGAAAGAATCAGTCCTGGAACGGGGTGGGGGTGGGGGTGGGGTGGGGGATAATATCATAATGGCACAAATAAACAGAAGGGGATCAGTCTGAACCAAGTCTGGGTACAGTCCGTGTTGCAGTGCGGTAACTAGAGAGGGGGATTTACTATATACTGGCTTTGACGATGGAAGCATAAACGGTAGGAATAGTAAAAGACCTTGACTCAGACACATTTAAAGTCTTCGGGAATCTGGCCTTGCTTTTCAAGATATAAAAGACAAAAAAAAAATGAAATGTATGTATATATATTTCTCATTTATGAAATTTTACCAAATTTAAAAATGAATTGATTCTTGAACTATAATATTCTCAAATAATATTTAACTCATAGAGAAAAAAATTCTAGAATTGAATTTCTGTAGAAGTCAATCTAAGTAAACATTGTCTTAACCGTTTTACACGAGATTTCAACATCCTAATACTTTTAATCCATTCTTTCAAAGTGTCAAGGATTTCCTCATATCTGAACCATTGTTTGACATAATCTTCGACAGAATTCATTTTTATGAAATTTTGTCGCTAGTTGAAAGATCGAGGTTCCCTACAAATTATTGCCATTTTAAGATAAGTGATTTAATGTCGTCATTATAGAAGCTTCTTCTAATAAAAATATTCTTATAAGATTGATAAGAACTTTACTCTAGATATACTTAATTCAAATTGAATATGACTTTTATGCACTCGAAGCTATAGGCATTTTACAGACCCTGTTTGCCCATTTCCTTTACTAAAAGGTCTTTGGAGTTTTTCAGAATTCACATGATTTACACCACTTTTTAATTATGTTTTTGGACAGTAAAGTCAGAAGAATCAATGTAATTAATGTAATTCACTGCGCTTAAGAAGGTCTTACATCACATGTGGAAGAAATTGTTTCATCATCTGCAAGAAGGGAGACTGTTTTTACCTTAATGCATGAAACAGTATTGTGTAAAAAATTGTTAAAGGATGTGGTCAGTAAGTTTGCATGGTGTTGAATCTATGGTTGATGATTTTCACAGTAAGATTTTCATTAATTTAGAAACACAGGTACCAAAAGCATGCGTTAACTGAGTATTCTTATGATTAAACGATTCTTAACTACTAATCAACCTCCAATGACAAAGCTTTTTTGTTATAAGAAACCTACTTCTTAACCTATTAAATCATTCTTCTATCTTGGGGATGGGGTGGGGGGGGGGGGGCTACAGTGATAAATATACATTTTTTGCCCATTGGTATTTTCTGCAGTGGCAAAGACAACTTCACAAATAAGATACGAGTCGTCTTCCTTGAACATGTTCCATAGTAAAATAATGAACAGGAAATAATGAATATATATAATTTTGTTTTATTGTTTGTATTTTTTTCCTTGATTTTATACAAAACATTAATACCTGTGTAATCAGGTAAAATAAACCATTCTCCAACAAAGCATTATACAGCTGTCAAATGTACAATGGCCTCTAACTGACTACAAGTGTGAATGCTGGGTCCCAATGTTAGCAGTCATCTATAATCAGTCAAATATGTAAGTATTCATAAAAATGTGCACCAGTTCAAAGTGTTGCGTCATCCCAATGGAGAAATATTACATCATGATTAAAAATATATACATTTTGATCATTACTTCATACATAAATTCCTATCAAAAATACTCCAATAGAACTACTTCAATTAGTATTGTTCAATGTCTGTCGATTTTTTATGAGACTTTCCTAACTTCTTATTTTTATTTTTTCTTATTTTAATATGATGATCTAGAAATTGTGAATGTAAAAAATCTTAAAAGAAAATGCCATCACAAATTTCTATCAGAGTTGGACGCAAGTTTATAAAGGCACTATATAGCAATTGGTGGGGCAAATATCCGTTCATATACATTTCATCATAAATACACAAAAATATATTGGCTATTTCAAAATGCACCAAGATTTACTTCACAAATACAAGTCATCAAATCGCGGTAACTTCATAACTCTCATTTCCCGTTCCCTAAAATGTAATAGGTCACAATCTGTGTTCTTTTACTAACAATCAGTAGCGATTTAAAGTTAGAAAAAAATTGAGGGTGCTCCATACTAGCACCACATTAGGCTATTTCTACCTTCAAACATAAAAGAATTCTGTGTAAAATATATAAAAATGATCAATTTTTCTTACGACTCCTCATCCCCACCCCTGTTAAAAGAAACCATTATCTATCACTACCTCACTTATCAATAAATAAAATAGCTGCATGTTTTTGTTTTCTTTTTCAATTATATTTGGGTTATTTTTGACCATGGGACATAGTGCAAAAGATTACGCAACCTGAGAGAAAAAGTCTGAAGGTAGAGATTGCATAGGTATGTCTATATCAACAGTTTCACATACACCATTTTGGTAAAGGCAAGATTAATATATGTCCACAACAACAACTCCAGCATTTCCCACTCTGAACAAAATAAATGTGACAAAAAAACTTTTTTCAAAAAAAAAAGGGGGGGGGGGGGAAGAAGTCTAGTTTAAATCATTCCAGACAGAAGATACCACGTAACAAGTAATTTTGCATTTGTCCTTTTTTTTTTGAAAAATTATTTCTTTCCGTCAAAATTACAAAAAAAAAAAAAAAAAACATATCGCAAAATATTCTCTTTCAATATTTTTGGGATAGCAGTTTGAATGGAAACATGAAAATTCAAATGCAGAAATCTGAATTTTACCTGATGGATCAATTTGCAGAAAAATGAACTGCTACAATTACCAGTTGTGTGGTATGGACTGCCAAGATTACCAGTTGTGTGGTATATTGGAGTAATATATGAATAGATAACAGGATTTTATACAATGAACAAAAAATCCAAACATGCAAGGTACACACTTAACAAACGCCTATAGATAACCAGCAGACATACAGACGGGACATCATGCATAGTTGAAAGGGGAGAAATACTCAAATGATCGTGAATAATTCTACATCAATGTTTGTAAATGTGTAAGGTTTGAATGCCACAATATACAAATGCAGTAATATACAACTGAGATCAATGTAAACATTAAAATGCTCCTCACTCTAAATTTACAACAGCACCTCCCCAACATACACAATAATGAACTCTCCCTCCTAATCAGTGCTCTCTACTGGAGAAGTTCTGTATGGTGTTCTTCTTTGTTATGCTAAGTGAAATTCTTAAACTCGTTAACTCCCTTTGTAAAAATGTCTACTCATTACCCAAAAATAAGTGAATTCATAAAACACAGATCACATGCCCCCATTTGTACTACAACCTTTGACCTTTAACAACCTAAAACAGTCATTCTCAAAATATGTAAAAATCTTAACAAGATATTCTCAACCATTTCATCATAAAATTTAAAACTTCCTCATTAAAAAAGTTATAGTAAAAAAAATCAACAGTGAAGCATAAACTAACAGCTGACCAAACAAAGTCACTTAAATTTCTTCATCCAAAACAGTATGTTTATATTCTATTATGTATCTTATTCAAAATTTCTGAAAGGCACCTATGGCCCTCTCTCTCTCTCTCTCTCGCTCTAATACACATACATACACAGACTTTGATTGGCATGGAAGAATTCAGACAATAGAAGCCCTACAGAATGTTTAATATTTACAATTTTCAAAAGATCATTTGTTTACATCTCATAGTTAATAATTTGGTACACTAATTTCTCATTTACAATATACAAGTATATATATGTATATATCTGTGACCAAACTTTTGCTTACGATTAATACAGTTAGATTACATGGAATTGGTACCTAAAACTTATAAACAAGCATTACAAAATAGAAACAATGTCTGACATTGTTTTTGCAATAAATTTCTAGATTCACGTTCATTATTCAAATATAATGGTAATACATGTACCAGTAAAAAATAGGTGTAAATTTACTCTGCTGCTCAGACTTTTACGTGTGAAAGTGTCATGTTTACAAGACAACAAAACAATGTTTTAAGCTTATAAGCTCTCACAATCTTGGGTTTAATGAACAGGGTGAAAAGTTCACTTGTCAAAAAATCTTGTTTTTTGTGTGTGGATGTAACAATGCATCTTGAGAAAATGATATATTTGGCATTTCTTTTGTGTGATATATCTTTATACAAACTTCAAAGATGAAGGAAAAAAATTCTAAAAACACAGCCAATAAATTGTTCACATCATTTAGGCTGGGTGTGTTGGATAATGAGAGAATTTATAACTCTACATTTTTTACAGAAATAAACTGTAAAGTCAGGGATAAAACAGCAATATAGCAATGATTTCATTTTCCTTCTTAATAATAAATAAATTTGCATATGTATAAAAATATAAGATTTACGCGAGACTTAACATGAAAGCCTCCGTCAAAAACAACAGCAGTAGAAAAATGTCACTGTTAGCAGTTTGGGAGCTGCCTTATGTGAAAACTCTGATGTGTGAAGTGGGTGTTTCTGAATTCACCCAATCAGATGGAAGAACAGAGGGGGTGTGGCACATTCTGTAGGTGACTTCTCTTGTGGCACTAGATGCTGAGGCTATTTAAAGCATTAGGTGTGGGGTGGGGCTAGTCTTTCACCAGGCGGTATATGTGATGCTGGGCGCCATGTTCACTGGTAGAGACTTCAAATACATAGGATATGCACATTAACGTTTCCTGTGTGTCACGATTGCTGACAACCTATAAATATAAACAAATAAAAATAAAATCAGGGCTTTAGATTACATTTCTAGAATTTCTCATTCAGTATTACTCATCCAAATTTGTGCGAGACAGTTCTCATACAGTAAAACACGCTTATAATGAAGTTTGGCGATTTACCGTCCTTACCTGTAGAATGGTGAAATTTTCTAGCACGCTGTTCATCATGTATTTTTCTGGTAGATGTTTAAGTTTATGTATAAAGTTGATCATGTATTCACACATAGGTGATCTGTTTATCCTGTACACATATCGACCATTCTCGTAACGGGGAAACTCAGTCTGAAATGAAATGTCACAATTATTATCAAATTAATTTTTTTTTTTTTTTTTTTTTTTTTTTAATAAATGAACAAATGTTCTGTAAATTCAAAGAAATTTTTACTTCTGGGTACCTCATTCATTTTAAATATTTCACTACGAGTTTCTAAATGTGCATCACAGAATGGTTTTATTGCTTTCTGAACAATTGAATATTTGGAGGAATCTTTCTTTTTAATGAATCTTTGGACCTACTTCTACTTTCTCCACGACTTGTTTTCCAAATGAACACACCTTGGTGGAACAAGTTATTGCCATATTTTCATTGCTTTCATACCTGCAAGTCATATTTCACAAACATTTAAAAGATAAAATTACAAGTCCTAACTAAAACAGTAGTAAGTAGCCATAAAAAGCAAATTAAAGGCAAGACATATTTGTTAGTGTAAAACCTCAAATTTTCGTGCATTCAAAATGAATAGAAAATTTTTTTGAAGCTTTACTGATCCTCTAAACTAGTTCTCAGCCCTAATACTTACTGACTTGTGACCCCATAAAACGTCCCCGTCTCATCTTGGACATTTGTGTTTATGTCCGCCTAAAAACACAAAAAATTGAAATGTAAATTTCCTTTAGATAAATATCTCAATAAGAGTAATTTTAGGTTTGTTCATATGATGAATGCCAAGAAACAAAAATAGTTATATAGTCATTCAATCTTTCTTTTAGGTCAAGCATCTGTATATGGATACTTTAGAATAAATCTGATTTTTCCCCCCTGCTGCATTGCTTCTGAACTCACCCAAAACTTGACAAGGAAAAAAGCGGACTGCGGCCCTTTGTCATACAACTCCTTTAGGCCTCCCTTCTTCTCGGGAAATTTGTCGTAAATTTGCCGGATATCAACTGCCTACAAATTAGAAGTATTCCTTCAGATTTCTTGTTTTCGTATCTTGTAAACACAGCTGTTTTATTCAAACACATAGAGTAAAACTTGTTTCATACAGCATGGATGATACAGCGAATTTACAGACATAGCAAAGTTTTTTGGGATCCCCAACAAATTTCTTATCAATACCTTGTAAATTTTTACAGTTATAAAGAACAACACACTCTGGTATAATGACTTTATGGATATAGCAAACTGATTTTGTGTGCCGTATGGGTTAAAAACAATGAAATTTATATCTTTTATAGATAATTTTTCAAAATCTCATAATTTTAAATATTGAACTGACTTTTATGGTAAGTATCAGTATCTATATTTAAAATTCAAATCCTCAGAAAACTTTAGGCCAAATGAAAAAAATGCGTGTTTCCAGTAACATGCCAAAAAAAAAAAAAAAAAAAAATTAGGGTAGGTAGGTAGGCAATAACTTTATTAAACTTTACTTTTTATATTGAAAACATCATTAAATTATTCAATATGCTGTTTTTTGTCATATATACATACATGAATAAACATACACAGCAAAATGAGTGTACTCTTTAAAACACTTGGATAGACATGTTTATACGGGTATCTGAGACATGCATTTTACTGACTGTCCTAGTGAACAAAAGTACAATTCAAAAATCCGGATTTTGCATAAAAAGTAGTAAGGTCAGTGGGTAAAAATTAGGGTCAGTGGGGTTACCGGAAACACATTTTTTTTTTAGCCTTAGTACTCCAAGATAAGTGTTGTATTTAATACTTTCCTGAATATATTCAGTAATCATACATGTAGGAAATTCATTATACAAATATAAGGAATTTACTGATATAGTAAACTCACAGTCCTCATGGTTATAACAGAGTTTAACTGGAGTCACACACAAGGTCATTTTGCTTCCACTATCCATGAACAATCAGAGCATTTCACCACAAAATTTAAACTTTGTTCCCACTTTATTTATATGAATCAATAATCAACCCCATTTCTAGACTAAATCCTAACTCTTTATTAATATCTTCATATAAATTACACTGAGCAATTATAATACCTCTAGCAGTGGGTTCGAGTAGCTTGCATTGGATCCAATGTGGACAAACAGGTGCTTGTGAAACTGAAACAAAGAAAACAACTTGGTAAAACGTAAACACATACGGGTAATATAAACTGACAATAGAAGATTTGACTCTACCACCTGGTTCTAAGTTTTCACTTTTTTCCCCCCAAGGTATCATTCATATTTTATATGATAAATTTACCAGACTTTTTTTGTCTGAAATTTTTATCAATTTTCACTGCAACTGAAATTGATATTGTTGAACAATCTAAAACTCCGCTAAGTCAGGATCTGCTAGTATTCTGATAAATGTAAAACCTAACAACTTTACATGATAAAATTGATCCTGATTTTATATCTCTCTTCCCCAGTTAATTATTTATCATGTTTCGGCTGATATTAAGATATAGTTGTGAATTCATACATGCATGCACCCCAGGTAATCATTGGTAAGGTACAACTGATCAAAGATGGGCTGCGATCAATGAGAAATCAATAGCCCAGTGTAGTTATAAGCCTCTTTATCCTGCCTTACTTAATATCTCTTGAATGACTTGACCTTTAGAAAATGGGAAGAAATTATAACTGTGTGATATCAGACTTTACACAATCGGCCTGTTGAGTCAGACAGGTAGTTGTGTTGTTAGCTTTTGGATAAAGTCCCTGTGTTAGGATGAAGGTAACACTGGATACAAGTAACACTGCTTGTTGGACTTAAATTCATGTTCTACATGAATCTCCATACTTTATTTATTAAAAAAAATTCCACAGGCATTGCAAGTGAAATAAATTTATCTGTTTAAAACACATCATTAAATACAGATCAGAACCCCATTTTGCAAAAGAAATTAGAACTATACTAGGGGTGCAACGATACACTAACCTCATGATACGATACGTATCACGGTATTCAGTTCACGATACGATACGTATCACGATACATGACAAGATTAAAAAGTCTTTCAAGTTTGTCATCATATTTTTTTTAAACTTGACAGTGTTATACAAAATGTTCACATTTTTTAATAATAACTAAAATAACATTTTGTTAACTTGAATTGGATTGTTAGGTAGATCTTTGAGTTGTGACAAAATTCTAAACCAATGATGAACATTTACAGGGAACTACAGGGACCTTTCCTAATAACAGGGACCTATAGTATATAGGTCCCTGCTAATAATCTTCCTTTTAAATTGGAATGAAAAAGGAAGACATTCATTCTTTTATTCCTTTTATTTATGTAGAAAACCAGTTGTCATATTTTAATAGGTTTTAGTCACAAGACAGCGAATTTTCATCGAAATACACACGTGATGGAATATCGTGTATTACCAAAGAATACGTTTAGATCTAACGGGTTTATCATTTCTCTTAACATCTATAACTTATAATCACATTAAATTCTTCTCCGTGTTAAATCTGAGGTCTGTAAGATGCTGGAGATGAGCTTAACTGCCGTAAATGCATTATCGGCGACCTCACGTTTTGCGCGGAAGCCATTTTGAAATAGTAAAGAAGGAAATAAAACGGACAAAACGGATAATTCTGGACCGATTGAACCGAACCGCGATATCAGTTTAGCGTATCGTGAATTGAACCGTGGAAAAATATACCGCGATATACCGTCAAACGGTTTATCGTTGCACCCTTAAACTATACATTGCTGAAATTTATTTTATTCTTTATGCTGGTTTTCAATTTTAATGTGAATAATAAGAAGTCATTCATGTGATTTTTACGTAAGTATATTCTTACTTAATTATTGAAAAAACTATATTCTAAAACTTATGGACTTGGTCGGAGATTTTTTTTTTAAATGAAGTCTAAATCTTGATATAAAGAACCTTGCCTATTAAATCTTAATGATGTTTCAATCATGTAGAATGTTACGTTGTAATGACCCTACATTTCTTGACTGCAGTGTATACTCACAGTATCTGGGTCTCGGGTTTGTTCTAAGAAAGCGGAGAACTCAACGAGGCGAAGTTTAGGGCCTGCAATGGAGCGTCCCTGCCAGGCGGGGGGCATTGATTCATTCATGGATGATGGGGGTTTCACATCTGTGTTGTAGTTACCAAACTGGGGCTTCACACTGAAATAAAAAGTACAAGGTGCTGATAAAATTATGCAATTATTGATGTGTGTTTTGTAAATCTTACATGGGACATCATTTCTTCTTTAAAAACCAAGAAAATGGTGGACAGAACTTCATAATATTGAGGGTGGAGTTGAACAAAGATTTTTTTTTTTTGGATCTACTGCCAGTACTTACTCTTCTTGGGGACCCATGTTGTTTTGCCAAAACTGTAAACAGAAAAAGATGAAATGAACAAAAAACTCTCATCATTTTAATCTTTTTTAATAATTTTAAATCAAATGATTCTGTACAAAACTAAGTTTCTGGTTAGTAAAGGTTACAAGAGCACTTCAATTTTTTCTTTCTTAATTTCAAAAAAATATTTCAAAATCAAACAGTTGACAATGATAAATGGACTGGAAAACCTTCCAAGTAACAAAAGACTTAGCAGAACAACAACCTTTAAAATATATGGACTGAACCCGAAAAAGGAATATTCAAGGATTTTTCTTCAAACACTAGGCTGACAATGTACGTAAAAAAAAAAGTAAAACGGTCAGATTTCAAATTTGACACCTGGCCATCTGAGGGGTGACAAAACATGTTTACCTGAGACCCACTGGGTCCCCCAGGGTAGGACGGTCGTACACTGCCCATGTTGGGCACTGGCAGGCCCTGGGCAAGGGCCTTATTATGGATAGCACTAGCGGACACGATCTGGGCGGAGGACATAGAGGCCATACTCTGGAGAGCTTTGTCTTTGGCGGCCTGATCCTGCATTGGGATTGACTGAAAATAATCAGAAAAATTACAAATAATCATCTCCCTGTTCAAAAATAAAAATCACTCTTGTTTGTTCTGATTTCAAATTGTCCTTGTCAAATCATGAAAACATTCAGCATATTCTAAAATAATCAAAATTGAGGAACAACTTCAATTAAACTAAAACAAATTGGTCTACTTTTTAAAAATATGTACCCATCATACATCAAACATATTATTACAGAAGGTATATTTTTACTGGTCTGACTGATTAAATGCAGAGGTGTAGGCAGGCCGAATCAAATTTAGATACAAGTACACTATCATCATATCTGCCTTTCAATCTTTTATTTAAAGTTTATTTTTCTTGTTTAATTGATTTTCCTACAGAGATTCATAAAAAAAAGAAAATCATTATGAGATCTTATTAATCCTTGTACTATTGCATCAAAATAAAAAATCTGACATTTAATGGTTGTGGATTTTATTCTTTTTTTAGAAAAAAAAACATATAACAACATGAGTGAACAATGTCCTTTCCCAAATTTTACTCAATTAAAAATTCTTCTTGTTAGAAAAAATTATTTTTCCAGAATTTATCTTCAAGTGATAATTCCCTCAGGATCAAAACCAATCTTAAAATTCTAGACTGCATGTGATATGATTCATCACTTGCAGAAATGTGACTGGGCTATTTACACCAAACGGCCAATGACATTTGATTTGCAAATTCTAATAATTCTATATATATCTGATCAAATCAAAATTTCTTTTTAATATGCACAATGTGAGGGCATTTTGAGAAGAGCTTCTTGTACATAAATCATGTCTACCGTCAGTATAGCATAAAATTAGTCACAGAGGGACAAACGAGGCAGGTTTCCCTGCTGAAAAGTGTCAAAAGTACATCTTACAGAGAGACAGAGATTTTTTTTTTCATTAATTAAACCAGTGACTCAAAACCACTTTTTTTAAATCCCAATCTTAAGACAGATTCATAATTAAAGTAACTGTACAAATAATGAAAGGGTTTTATAACAGCAGGACAATTTACAAACATCAGTTCCATTCTTCCCCACCTATCCACAGCAACAGAGTTTGTACCCCTGTATGTATATTTCAAAACACTTACAAAAAAAGTACAAAAATAAATCACACACGCATAGAGATTTTGGTTTATCTCTGAGCCGCGGTTATCTGGTACAGGCTGATAAGGGAACACTTCCTTCATTACTCCAGTCCACTAATCCCACAGCAGATATACTCCTCAGATTCCTTTGAAGCTACTACCCTTTTTCTCCCCCCCCCCCCCCCCCGTAACTGTTTTATTCAGAAAAATTTGAATACTCTGCACAAATTAATGCTTGCCAAGTTAAGTATTTGCCCGTCTTAATAGCTGTTAACTTTCTGAAAAATCCTGTTTATCATTTTATGTAAAAAAGCTTTTTTTTCTTCAGTATATAGGCCACATGCATTAATTTATCTCTAAAAGCCTTTCTTTTGAAGCAGCCAGGATAAAAAAATACCAGTATTTCTCGACTATTCTCAAACTTTGGAGGGGGATATGGGTGGGGGTCACTTCTCAATATATTTCGTTATTTCTCAAATGGACCAGACTTTGGGTAGTAGATCTTTAACCCACTGGCTCTACTCCTTTGAGTGGAAACTAGTTGAGTTTACCTCTCTATTTATCTATAAACTGGCCTTACTTTTGAGTGGGAACTAGAGTTAGGTTTACCTTAAGTTGTGCCTGAATTTCTTTGGCTTTTCTGCGGGCCAGAACTTGGATATGGCTGGACACCTGTTTCCTCGTCCGGGTTTTCCCCGTTCTCAGTTTGATATATCGGGCAATCAGCTCATTTCGACCTGGAATTAAAAAATAGGCATGTGTACCTTTAGATTTGCATGCTAATTCATTAATTGCTTGTCTTAGATCATTCAGCATTAAAATTGTCTTCAACAAGCACCTTCAATGTTCAGCGAAAGCTGTTTATATATATAGTTTACATCCAACTGTACTTTCAGTAAAGATCTTTCATTTATAATGAAGTCAATATGTATGGCTTTGATATAATTAATATACACAATGTCATGAAACATCAATTCTACATATGCTCTTACAGACGTCTATAAATAGTAAACTTATGATTTGATTTGTCCAGGTGTTTACTCGGTTATTCATCAAATCCTTACAAAGTCAACTTGACACTTTTCTGGGGTATAAACTTCATATTATAAGAAGAAAAAAAAAACAAAAAGCAAAAACTTCATCAAACTGCAATTCTCACCATTTTGACATTTCATAACAATACAATACTATTTTGGAAGGATATACAGCTGTTTCAAAATCTACACAAAATCTTTATTGCTGATTAATCTCAGGTGTGCAGCACACCTGTCTGCTTGACAATGTCATTAAGATAAGTTTGTTATTGATTGTTAACTTCTTATAAACCCCAGACAACTCTGGTCCGATTGACACCACCAATGGCTCCTAGCTACTCCTTTTGATTGCCGCCGGCCACTCTCGCACCCTACTGCTGCCTAGGTAGATTTATTTGCTTTGATATTAATTTTCTGTCTGACTGACAAAACTTCTGTCCCAAGTATAGGCTATGTTGGCCTGATAAGTACTGATAATTACCATGGATAACACTATTGGATTCAGGCATCTACCAAAGGCAGGGCAACAATGGTATTGGGACTCAGGGGCATCTAGGATTTCTAAGATGTCAAGATCCTCTGGGGCAGCCCCCTATATTGATCTGTCTCCACAACAGCAAATTTCCTGGCTTCTCATGTGTATATATGTTGTGTGATGCCCCACCCCACCCTCTTTGTCTCTCTTATGAGTAATGCTAATTACTTTATCTTGCTCAAACCCATTTCAGGTTGCTTCTGTCTGCAATCAATTTCCAAACAGTTAGACACTGTATGCAGAAAATCTTGCTATCCCCTTAAATTTAATTTGTATATAAAGAGGAACTGAGCAGCTTTTACTATAATATCATAACAATATGCAACACATGTCAAGCTAATCCTCATAAGAGTCCTACAGAAGTTATTTACTTAAGAGAAATATGTTTTAATCATAACTTTTTCATGGTCATTGTTAGTCCATATACATGTATTGTATGTCAGTGACCAGTTCTGCTTGGTCAATGTCCAGTATTGGTCACCTTTTAACTGGTCAGTGTCTAGTTCTTTTGGTCTGCACGGATTAATATTAATAAAGAAGGACTAATCACTTAACAACAAAGGACCCCTGAAATTGACCATCCCCCATCATAAATGTCTCCACTGGTCTTTATAAGACCACCAGTCTCACTAACATTGTTCTGTACCCAAGGAATTATCTTCAAGTGTTAAAGGACTGTGTTAAATCTGCCATGCACCAAAAACTGAGAGGAAACCTTCAGTAAAACAAGAGAATTGCCTCAACAATAAACAGAAACACATCAGGTGTTCTTTATCTCGGTACGGATCACTCAATCTTCTCCCTCTGTTTATTTTCTAGGTATTCTTTACACACACAGGTTCTAATGCTCTATGTCTTTTGTATGTATGTATATTTAGTTACACACGTAACATCAGGCCAAGGGCTATTTTGAGAACTCTACAAGACAGGTATACTGGCTAACAAACAAGGTTACCTGATTACAGGTAGAATTACAACCTGTGCTATCACTCAGACAAGTAGACAATACACCTCTGTATTAGTGTGCCCTATTTTTTTTTCTGTTCTGTGGTGTGTTCTTTAGAGCTTTTTAACCAGGTTGTAAGGTAAACTTCTGGCAGAGCACCAACACTTGATCTATTTGCATACTGTCAGAGGGGTTTTTACATGGGGGACCTGAAGGGGGAATAGATTGGCTCTACTGACCCTGCAGAGGGAAGCATTAACTGGGACCACCAAGATATTTATTTTTGTGGCATATTTAAAGAACTGGACAGTATGAATTAAGTGTATTTGCTCTGCTCTTGAACTGAATAAACTTTTAGTAAACAGTTGTATGGAGTTCTCACTTACTGGGTCCTGATTTAGGTAACAGGAATTAGTCATCATTTATACATACACCTTGGCATTGAGTGATGACTCATCTGTGTAAAAAAAAAAAGGCACTTTATTTCTTATGTGGTTTCCTCTACCTGTCTATTGTCCCTGGGTCTTACGAAAATCTGGAAACTTGAAGAGCTCTCATTCAACAAGACTCAACAATAAAACTCAAAATACCGACTAAGATTTGTAACACAGGCAAAAAACATGTCTGAAACATAACGTTTTTTATGTTCTCAGCAAAGAACACAAGACAGATAAACATATCGTACAAGTACATCTATTTGAATACAAATTTCAAGAAGTGGGCGGATTTTTTATTAAAGTTATCAAAAGATTGTGTAATACACAACCCAAACAGAGTTACCACTGAAGTATTTACAAATTCAATTTAAAATCATTAGGAATGCCTTGTAATTCATACTAATGGAGAGTGAAGCAATGAATGAAATGAATTAAAATCTGGAGACCACTGTTATCTGTTAAACAGGAGGAGAGAACTAGATGTCTATCTTATCTGCTGATCAGTTTTATTCAAAGCTGGTCTGTGTGGAGATCACTCAGATATGGGTATTACCCCCAGGTCAAACCACATACAGTACTTCTACAATAAGTGCCCCCTCTTTACGAACAAACATGGCCTTTGTTGTCGCCCAGTCTCGGAGTGTTGATAAAACGGGAAACTTCATCTGAAGTCAGTCACCCTATCACAGCTAAATCTCTATTTGTGTTCTGTATCACCTGGTCAGATTAGCCAGGTATGATCCCCCTCTCATTATCCCCACCTGAACAAAACCTCAATGACTGGTCAAGAAGAAGGGAGATCAAATTTACCCCTCTGAGCTACAAATGCACATTCAGCAGATATGGGCCAAAAATAAAAACATTCAGACTGCCAAGAAAAGAAGCCTCAATGATCCAAGAAGAGAATTGTGGTTAGTGGATAGAGAGAATGACTTAGAGATAAAGACAATCTCTCTATCATTTCCTCCCCTAATAAACCCAGCTGTCCTTTGGGATCAGGGGGAGGGTTAGTGATGATTGAAATGCTGTCAAATGTTTCACATATTCAACATATCTTCTTGTACATGTCACAGCTGAGCGTTGACATTTCATTCCATGATCAATGTGACCCCTGTGACATCAATATCTGATTTACAGTGTCATCAGAAATAATTCTCCATTTTCCTGCATTGACTACCAATAATAAAATTTATGTCAAACTCCTCAATGTTTCTTGCACACCTTTGCCATCTTCTGTATTAATATCCAGTCAATAGCTCTACTTCATGATTATTTTCCCAAAAAAGAGGAAAAACAAAATGTTACAATTTAAATTTTGCATTCCTAAAGCAAGCAGCAAACCAGTAGCTACAACCTAAGATAGGAGGCCACACTAGGCTGGCCATCTTTGTGTCTCACCTGAAAAGGTCGGGCTAATAGAAGGAAATGACCTACCATATTGACGCATTAAGCAATCAGGAGAAGTTACAGGCTGTCAAATGTGATTTACTGCATTACGCCTTACCATCAAAATCTAATTATTGGCCGAGACTAAGAGTACAAACATAACAATGAGCTCTACCTGGAATTGACGTCCCTCAGTATTTGAATTGTCAGTATTAAAAAGACACCTAAAAGTGACTTAGTAATTCCTGTCTACTCCTATGTTAAACAGACAATTTATTGTACTTCCTAAATGATCAATCCCCCCAATGGTATTATTTCGAACTCAACTGAATTTGCAAGAAACATAAAACTACTGACCATGATAGTTTCAAATATTTAGTTCAAAGATTAGATCTATTGAAGGTTTTTTTTAAAATAATTTTGATTTCTTGTTCAAATATCTTTTCAATAATATTTTCTGAATTGTGAACCCTAACCCCTGGTCTGCTCAAAGTGACCTTTCTGTACTCAAATACAACTGTTACAAAAGAACAGAGTTCCATAGTCTCTCCCATCTGGTATTTACTCCCTTATTAAACTCTCCCCTTCCATTACTTACCATACATCTCCCCCAAAACCCATCTCTCTAAAATTCTCCCCTGGAAGTTCTTCCCTACACAACTTACAATAGTGTACATATTCTCTCTCTCTCTCTGTGCAGTTCCCTACCTTTATATCTCTTCCCTCCACTCTCTCTCTCTCTCTCTAGTTCCCTGCCTTTATAACTTTTCCCCTCCACTCTCTCTCTCCAGTTCCCTGCCTTTATAACTCTTACCTCTTCTCTCTCTCCAGTTACCTGCCTTTATAACTCTTCCCTCCACTCCATCCCTCCGGTTTTCTGCTTTTATAACCCTTCCCCTCTATTCTCTCTCTCTCTCTCTCCAGTTTCCTATCTTTATAACTCTTCCCCTCTACTCTCTTTCTCCAGTTTCCTATCTTTATAACTCTTCCCCTCTACTCTCTCTTTCTCCAGTTTCCTATCTTTATAACTCTTCCCCTCTACTCTCTCTCTCTCTCTCTCTCTCCAGTTCCTAATCTTTATAACTCTTCCCTCTACTCTCTCTCTCCAGTTCCCTACCTTTTTAACTCCTCCCCTCTACTTTCTCTCCAGTTTGCTACCTTTATAACTCTTCCCCTCTACTCTCTCTCCAGTTTCCTATCTTTATAACTCTTCCCCTCTACTCTCTCTCTTTCTCCAGTTTCCTATCTTTATAACTCTTCCCCTCTACTCTCTCTCTCTCTCTCCAGTTTCCTATCTTTATAACTCTTCCCTCTACTCTCTCTCTCCAGTTCCCTACCTTTTTAACTCCTCCCCTCTACTTTCTCTCCAGTTCGCTACCTTTATAACTCTTCCCCTCTA